GGGGTGCCGGACCCAGCCCGCCCCGCAGCAGCTCCGGTACCGGGCCCGGACGGGCCCGGCAGGCCCCACACCCCCAGAGCAGCCTCCGTACGGGGCGCCATCGGGCCTCCAGGCCCCGCAGCCCTGGTGCAGCCCCGGTACTGGGCCCAGTCAGGCTCTGCACCCCCAGAGCACCCCGGCACTGGGTCCCATCGGCTTCAAGGCTCTGTGCCCCCAGAGCAGCCCCGGTACCAGGCCGGGACAGGCCCTGTGTGCCTACAGCAACCTGGTGCTGGGCCTGGTCAGGCCCTTGTAGCCCCAGAGCACCCCAGTACCAGGCCCAGTCAGGCCCTGTACCCCCAGAGCAGCCCTGGTAATGGGCCTGGTCAGGCCCTGTGTGCCTAGAGCAACCTGGTACTGGGCCTGGTCAGGCCCTGGAGCCCCAGAGCAGCCCGGTACTGGGCTCGGTCAGGTCTCCAAGCCCTGGTGCCAGGGTCCCTGCTGGGTCTCAGCCCAGTCCAGAAGGGAACCGTGTTTTCTGGTGTCTGGGGCAGGGTTTCAGAGCATGGCCCTGTGCTCAGCGGCACAGCCCCACACCCGGCTGCGCAAGACCCACGCACAGCAGGAGCCTGTTTTTGAGGCCGCAAGGCATTCCGGGCGACGGAGGGGCTCATGTCGCACCCTGTGTGGGCTGTATGGTCCTGTCGAGCACTGTTTTTTCTCGGTGGGACTGAACAGCATTGGGGTTGTAATTGCCACACTGCCACCCTCCTGTCCCGGTCAGCGGTACTTGTCTGCCTCTGGGTCGCCCACACACCAGGTGTTCAGCCATATCGCAGAAGCTGGTTTAGCTCTTGCTGAAGTTAGTGGAAGAGCTGTAGCTTTTTTAGCTTAGCTTGCCAGAACCATGGGTAACAGCCATCTCTGTTACATGGCTGACGACAAGGGTAGCATGGGATGAGCCATGTGCAGCAGTGGACCAGCCAGCCGTACCCAGAAGGTCACAACCAGTGCCAACAGAGGAGAGAGGGTGGTGGTGCTCAGCCCTACAGGCAGGCTCTCCAGCCCTGCCAACTGCACAATCAGAAAACTGAAGGCAGTGACTAGACCTTTAAGCAGTTCTTTTCCTTTCCAGAGTTAGTCTGGTTACCTCATGGGGTTTGTGAAACAGAGGTGTTCGCATCTTTTCCCACTCACAGTTTTTGGATTACACAGGACAGAACAGCAGCTTCCGATTAGCCAAGGGTCACAAAAGCTCCATGCAGTGCCAGCTGCTCAAACCCTTTGAGAGTCTCTGAAAAGCATCCATGAGCAAATCCTACCCATAGGCATCTTGTAATGCCGAGGACTGGGGTACCTTACCAGCACGGGAGGTCGAATTCTGGGGCCGATGCACTGGGGGCAGGTGGAGCTGCATCAGTGTGGTAAATCACCACCTAGTGGCGGTGGTGATGGGGGTGGCAAAGTGCTGAGAAATGATGCATGCTGATGCCCAACTCCATAACGCTGTCCTGTTCTTCCACAGCAATTCTCAGCGCTGACTGAAGTGCTCTTCCGCTTTCTAACAGAGCCCAAGGAGGTAAGGCATGTGCAGAACTCCAAGAAGTGTGTGAATGCAGCTCTCTGGTGAGAAACATGCAGAGATAAGATTGTGTCTCTGCTTTTTCTCTTGACCAGGTAGAAAGGTTTCTGACTCAGCTCTCAGACTTTGCCACCATGAATAAGATCAGCTTGGGTCCCCTGAAAAACATTGTCAAAAGTATTCTTCTGGTACCTAATGGTAAGTGATACATTTGCATATGCTACCCTGAGACCAGAACTATTGCGTCCATTCCTGCATGCTGCTAAAGTGCATCTTCAGAACTGCAGTGCACTTGGTTTGCACAATAAATGCTAACAGTAGCTAATAAATGGCTTAGCATTCAAGAATCAGAAATTCTCTTGTTGAAATGTACGTTTGGTAACTCGGGCTTTGTATTCTTTACACCCTGCCTGCACACACATTTCACAAGCTTAACTAAACTCACTTAAATATCTACGCATTAAATGCAAGCACAACACGGTGACAGTGCTTGGTTTAACTTGTGCCCGTAAATCTGTTTTTTTTCCAGACCTGTGCAGCCTTATGTTGACACTAAATCTTTGTAGGAACTTCCATCCAAGTGACCCAATGCTGTTATTCCTACAAGGACAAGTGCTGTTTGAGACAGATAAGACAGTGTACACACCTCTCTGGAGTGGGCTGGAAACTGGCATAGTTCTAGGCCATGTAAAGGAGGCATTTGTCCTTGCAGTCTCATTTTAGAAAAACACTTATGTACCCAGCGGTTTCTCATTCATAAATAGTGGGGAAGAGGGACAGGAGGATTCCCCTTGAATACCCCAGACTCCAGCACTTTATGAGATTACTCTGATGTTGTGGGTGCCGTTTGACACGATAATGCATCAAACACCTCCACTGCGCGTTCATCCCATTGATCCTTCTTGTTATTAATAGTCCCTTGCTATTATCCTTCCATCCTGGGTTTCCCATACCTTTCTTCACAGCAGCGAAGCCGTGCACAACTGTTTCCTGCATTTGGTCTAAACTTTCATTCCACTACATCAAGCCATTTCTTCTGGAGTAGCACTGGATAATTTCCTTTCCTACAGCTGTCCTGGGGATATTTAATGTGGAAACAGCATTTTCTCCCTTCCTGATTCTAGCCTAGGCGTACTCGGTCTCGTCATTTGTGTTCGTGTGCGCTGACTCCAATCCCGTTGTAACTTTTTGTTAGCTCTGGGATGCCACAGACAGTATCGGAACAGATTACAGCAGATAACTTTGCCTATGCGCTACACAGACGGAAAGCCACGTGGGACTGGCAGTCTCTTTGAATTTATGAGATTCCTGCTCTTGGCTTTAGAGAACAGAATCCTTGTAAACTTCCATGTGCTGCCTGTGCCCCAGAACAAAGGAGGCAGGCACAGCAGGGGAAAGTGTTATATGCACACGTTCACACCCATAATCCAAAACACAGCAGGTAGGTCAAATTAGTAGCCTGCCAGCCTTAACAGTTCTCCTTTAACAAGCAAAGCTTCTATAGGAGGGAAAGCAGCAACTTCAAAACACAACCGCTGCTGCTGTTTCCATGGATACCCGCAATGAAATCTCTCCCTCTCTCTCGGGCACTTCCATCGCCCTGACTTTTAAAGCACTGGGCATCTGCAAAGATACCGGCAGGCACAACTGTATTTCCTATCTTGACGAGCTGTGGTTTGTTTCAAAACACAGTCCAAGAACACAAGCTTTCTATCGCAGGGTCTCCGTCCCAGCATTTGTTTGACTCGGTAAAGATTGCTTTGAATCAGTAAAAAGTGATTTTTCTTCCTTGCATTGTTTATTCAGGTGCTCTGAAGAGGAATCTGTCTTCCGAACAAGTCAGAGCAGATTTTATTGCTCTAGGTAGGTCACCTGACTTCCACTAAATAAAAGATAATTAATATTTATCACATATAGTAATCTCATATGGTTTCTCCCACAGGCCTCAGTGAAGAGAAAGCCAGTTATTTTGCAGAACAGGTATTAATACATTTTTGCTTGTCTCTGAGCTAATAAAATGTCAGTCTTTGAGTGGGAACTTGTAAAACCCCACTGGGCTACTGAGATGTGTCAGCACTGTGGGTATTTTCTTCAAAACCAGCTCAGAATTTGGAACAGATAACTGATAAGGATAACTTTGTCTAATGCCATGGCCTCTGCCTAATCAGTTTAGTGAATCCTGCACTTCTGTGTGGCTTTCATTTGATTGTTTTCCTGCTTTGCATGCCTTGAGCCCTGGGGTCATGCAGTTACATGAACACATGACTTTTTGCGCAGATATTGTTACACTGAGCCAGTGTTAAAACAAAAACAGTGAGTTTCATTTACAGAAGTGACAAGGCAGATGGAAATCCTAGCAGGACTCAAACATCTTTGAAAACCCTCCCGACCACATCAGTTTGCCCCTTTGCACACCTCCACTTTGGGCTTCTGCCATCAATCTCCCTCGTTTCTGACTTGTGTTGAAATGACGAGTAACATAAATGGAGGCCTCTCCGAATTGATTGCTTGTGTGTCTTTTGCTCTTGCAGTGGAAGGTGAATTCCCCCACCCTAACACGCCTGGCTGTTGGTCAGACACTGATGATTAACCAGCTGATAGATATGGAGTGGAAGTTTGGAGGTAACAGAGCTAAAACATAAACGGAACAGGTTGGGAAACCCAACAGCAGCTCTCAGCTAAATAACTTTTTATTTCACAGTTTAGCTAACAGATTATCTCCCTTCTTTTCTTTCTGACTCACAGTGACTGCTGGGAGCAGTGAACTGGAAAAAGTGGGAAGTATCTTCTTACAGGTAAATCTCCTACATCAGAGAGTTCAGGTTGTAGTGCAGTTAAGGAACAAGCTACGGCCAGGCATGGGGGAAGTACTGGCTGTGAGAGGAGCTAGCAGAAAGCTAGATCTCACAGAACAAGCTCTGCAACAGTGCATCTGCTTCAGTCTTCTGAGTGCAACTGCCAGCAGATAGCAGGCACACTGCTATTTGTTTCTCTTCTGAAGACATCATGTATCACAGAAGCGTAGCCCACTCTGGAAAGCTGTTCAAAAACCTCAGCCTAGCAAAGGTCGTGCTATCTTGGGTAGGGAGGGGGAATGTGATCATTTATAAAGACTTCCAGAGATCCTCCCAATGCCTAAGGAATCTATTCCTACAGTGACACTTCCCAAAAAGCCTGTTAAAGATGTGTGTGCTTTGCAGCAGTCTGCCCATCTGAAACTCACAGCAGACTCCTGTACTTCTGTCTTTTCATGGTGCTCAGAATACAGGTCTCTGAATTAAAATACCTCTGCTTTTTCTTCCCCCAAGCTGAAGCTGGTGATTAAAAAAGGGAGCCAAATGGAAAACGTATATATAGGTGAGTTAACAGTTCTGGAAAAGAAGCAAGCATTTGAATACACAAAAGCGGAGCAGCAGCTCAGAGCTCCCGGGTGTTGCTGGAGGTGGGGGAGCTTTGGGCGCAGACCCAGCAGGGGTCACTGCGAGAGCATCGCTAGGGGATGCTGCGGCTGCTCCTGCCCTGGCCTCGCCCCACCACAGTCACTCCAAAAGTATTTAGGAACACCGACTGTTGGGCAGTCTTCACATCTTTGCGTAAGTAAATATAGATACGCCAGGCAGCCGTGAAAAGCAGTCAGAGGAGCATGGCAGATGAAAGTAAACAATTCCCAACTGTCAGTTGCTGTTAGGAGACTCCTAGCCCAGAACCCCCCGCACACAGCCCAGCTGGTGTGAAGAAACAACTGCAGAGAGCCGAAGTGTCTAATCCTGCCTAGCTTAGGTGAACACGAGTTGCTCCGCGGTAGCACCACGATGGCTTTTCCAATGTTGGAAGTGTAACGTGAAATCTAAGACTTTGTGCCTCTTTTTTTTTTTTTTTTCTGCAGAGTTAACTTTGCCCCAGTTCTACAGTTTCCTGCATGAAATGGAACGGGTCAAAACCAGTCTGGAAAGCTTCAGCTGAAGCTGCATGGACCTGACCAGATGTCTGTCCAGGATGTTTAATTTCTCTTTGTGGGCCTGCAGATCTGCTCTTTCCTGGCTGACTCTTGACACCCCCATAAGAGAAGACAAGGCTGTGCAAGGAGCAGTGGCATGATGGGCCAGAAGGACCCATCAGTCCTTCAGAACCTGACACTTTGGCATTTGTTTCAAAGAAGCTACAAGTCCACTCATCTGGTTTTTTATACTATTATGAGAAATTGAGGTCAGAAATATGTGGATACTTGTATTAAAATAGCAAAGAAATAAACCCATTCCCATCCTGCTCCATTTGTATCAATCTGATTTTTTGAGAAAAAGAGAAACAGAAGCAAAGAATAATTTTCAAACTTGGAAGAATTAAGCAGAGAGGGCAAGGGAGCAAGGAGAGCATCTAGCCTGGGGAATCACTTAATGCTGACTTCCAAGCCTCTCACTTCTCGTGTATTGAGAAATGGATTGATTACGTCCTTCCCAATTGTACCCCATTATGGAAGAGTATATCAGTGGTAGATGATTTTAAATCTTAAACAACCAAACGTCTGCCTCTGTGCACAGGGAGAAGAACACCTCAGGGGGTGACTAGATAAATGTGGTTTGTGCGTGCTGGGCTCTAGCAAGCAGCTCCTGAATCTGCAGTTTGTGTGATGTCACACAGGTAGATGCAGCCCGTTTCTTAGCAGACGTACGTCCAAACCCCACGAAGCGCCATTAGCTCGACTCTTTCGTTGTATAGCAGCGAGGATGAGCTCTTCATCGGGAAGCAGAGGGGTACCCCTGACCTGACGCAGGGGCAGTGGAAGATGTTATGTTCACCGAGGTTCCTCCCATGTCCAGACTGTTTAACTGTCCGGTGCTTCTTGGCAGTCCAAGCTCGCTGGTGCCTCCTCCCACGGCACAGAGCTAAACGAAGCTCCCTCTTCCAGCACGCTTCCACTGTCAGGATTTCCTGAGGCACCTCTGTGTCCCTGACTCACTTGGTGGTCACAGTGGAGGGAACAAACTGCAGCACTGGGGAAGATACTGGCAAGATCCTCTCCGTTTCTAGCCTGCACCTGAACTAATTCACTGTCCTGCGGCATCCTGCAAGTCTGCTGTGGGATAAGCAGCACTGCGGCTGCCTGTGCCCGCATCTGCTTCCACTTAAAGCCATGCACAAAAAGTCAGTTTCTGTGAGAAAGGGGTCACAAAGCTCCCTGCAACTCACGGCTTTACTTGCAGATTTTCAGCTTGCAGAAAACCCAGCGTTTTCCTGCACTGCATTTCGTGGGGTCCTGCGTGAGTGACTAGAACCAATAACGAGTATAGACTGGGCCGTGTGTTTGGGAAACAGGTCAGGGAATCCCGCTGGCAAACCTGGGGACAGTATTTGCATATTTATTTTCCTGCTTATCAGGCCATTCACAAGCATTTCAAGCTTTGTCACATGATTACAGTAAATTAAAAAAAAAAAAAAAGAATCCTTAGAAATAATGTTCTGCAGAATATTTCATCTCCTTTTGGGTGGCAGGAGAAGCTATTTCAGGGAGGAAGAAAAAGTCCGAAGGGCTGCTTTTTCAAAACGAAAGGATTTTTTCTACCTTACGTTCTCTGCTGCCTGTTCCTATTATTTCTCCTTGCCCTCCTGGTGCCAGGGCGGCACCACTCAACCCTATCCGGTTACGGCGGGAGGTGGACCACAGTGATGCCGGAGAAGATGCCAGGCTCAGTTGTGGGTCAGGAATCCGCCGCCCCGCCGCGCTCCTCCTCCTGCCCGGTTGGGATTAAGCCGCTCGGGGCTGACGCACGCCGCGGCCCGCTGACCCCAAGCGCAGGGGTCACCTCCATGCTGCTCCGCGATCCCCACGGGCATCTCTGATCAGCGGCATTAGAGAGCGCTGCCGCCGCACCGCCCTCTAGCCCTTCGTCCTGCCACCAGTAGTCCCTGGTACCCCGGGAGCGCCCTTTCATCCCACGCACTTGGCTGTGCATGAGCCGAGCTGGCAGCCCCGGCAGAGAAGGGGCACCGGGAGGGAGACGGCTCCGGCAGCACCGGCACAGGGCGACGCCAAATGTGGGGGAACTGGGTCACCCTCCCAATCGGGCCAGCCAGGCGCTGGGAAACACAGCGCCCCAGCCATACCTTTCCCACACAGTGTGGCCCCGGCTTTGCCACCAGCACACGGGGTGATGGCGAATCCCCGGACCCCCACACTGGGACTCGGCCAGCGCAACCAAGCACAGCCACGGGGAGGGTTGAGCGGGGACTGAGCCGCAGCTGGGAGGGAAGGGGCTGCCACGGTGCCTGTTTTGCCCGGCGTTCCAGGCAGTCCCGCAGTGCTCGGTGTGCGCTGCCTCTTCCGGCTTGCCCGTCAAGCCCAGCCAGCCGAGAGCTAATCTCCACAGGACAGCGGGCGCAGGGGAAACAGGGGCCTCTTACAGCTTGGGGTGAAGCTAACTGTACTCCTGCAGCGGTTTGCCTCCCCGAGGACTTTCCCGGCCCATTTCCTCTGGGGGCGGCCGCGCCGCAGCCCCCTCGTTCCTGCCCAGGCCCCCGCTGCGGGGGGGAGACGGGGGCTCTCCTGGCTGCAGCACAGCCCCGAGTGTGGGGACTGCAGTGGGGCAAGAGCAGCTCTGCCGTAGCAAAGCCGCCGTGCAGTCACCCCCTCACATGCTTAGATGCTCGTGCAACCCCACTCACTGCAGTGGGAACTCTCTGCCGCATCAGGGACCACCTTATTACACTCCAGGCTGCCAGGCAGTCTCTCCTGAACCCAGGGGATGTGGCAGAGCGGTCCCCAGGAGCCAGGCTGCAACGGGTCCTGTGCTCCCAGGCATCCCACACACTCATCCCTGCCAGACTCCTGCAAAACTGCACCAGAGACTCAGAGGGGTCTGTCGCTTCCCGGCACCGATTCAATGCAGTCGTGATTCTCAACCATGGCAGATGCTAATGACCAAGGGAGCCGGGATGTGTTCAGATGTGGCATCTTCTCCCCACTGGAAACAGCGATGCTGTTCCCTTCACGTGTGAAGGAGCCCTCCAAGCCCCGAGAACAAAAGCCTCAGCGGCGCCTGCCGCCCTCCCCCTGCTCGGAGGTGGTGGAGCAGACACAGGCTCTGCTTCCGCTCCTGCCTCGAGCCCGCGGGCCGGCGGGGAAGGAAGGAACCGGGGCTCGCTGCCTGCTCTGCCTGACCTTGAGCAGGTCGCGTGAGAACCGGCAGAGCTCCTGCAGGAACCCTCAGCTTTCGCAGAGCTCGCTGGGAGCTGCCCCACGCCAAGGACTTTGCAAGCTCGGTCTTTATCCCCGTCCCAGCTTTCCTGTTTGCAAAACAGGGCGAAAAATCTCGGGGTTGGCCAACAGCTGGGAATGAGCCGTGGCAGGAGAGACAAGCTGGGGAGAAGAGCCAGTGGGCAACGGTCCTAAAAGCAGCCTGGAGGTGAGCCCCATGCCAGGCAAAGCCCGCAGCTTGCGTTGAGGCTGCAGCAGCATGTGCAGGTGCTCGGACCCAGCGCAGCTGAACGCCAGCCCTGGGCAAAAGAAAAAGATGTTGCCTCCATGATGGCATTAATCCCACACAGAGCAGCGTGGCTGATGAAGCCAGTTCTGCCTCTCCTCACCCCACACCTTTCCCCTCCCCAATTCCTCCAGGTTTTAGGGCCATGCAGCACCCAGGCTGTCACTGAGCAAAACCATCAGCTGCAAACCGCAGCACCCAAAATGTATTTATCTGCCTGGGAACAGCAGTCCTGAGCACTTGGGAGGCCCCAGGGCAGAGCCACCACCCTGCGGTGCCACATGAGTCCTTGGGGACAGGGACCTGCAGGGGGTGCATGGGGCTACCTGGGGCTCCCACAGCCCATGCTCCAAGGAGAGGTCCTCAGCATTTGCATCCCTTACTGGGAGCAGACAGGCGAGCACAGTGCTCAGTGCAGCACTGTCACATTGCTGAGGGGACACTCCCCAGGAACACACTCCCTAAGGCTCAGCCTGCCTTGGGACATGCTTCTCCTGCACCCACCCTGCTTGGGAAATGCAGGGAGGCATCCCACCCTGCCTCTGAAACTGAGCTGCTGCCTCCCAGT